ACACACACTCTCACACACACACACACACACACACACACACTCTATTATAGTATAAAAACTCTCATGGTATCTCAGTGATACTAAATACCATTGGAACCAATGAAAAAACTTTATATTTAATATTGAACTGCCAACATTAATCTTACAGTTCATAATCTTATTTTATGATTATATATATATATATATATATATATATATATATACATTAAACATATATAATATACACATACTGGTAAACAATGTATAGCCTGAATGCACTGTAAGTCGCTTTGGATAAAAGCGTCTGCTAAATGCATAAATTATTATTAAGAAATGATTATTATTTTCCATTTTTGAAGCAGTGAATGTCATTGCATTAGACTTCTGTAAGCTGGTCCTTGCGTTCATTATCATTGCGCCGTGAATACTGTGGAATATTCCAGAAACTCTGCTCTCACACAAGCCCTGTGTAGTGTGCTCGTGCTGTTTCTAGTGCACTACACTACACCACCTAGTGGCCTGATAGTGTGGCCAAACATACACAGCCAGAGCTAACAGACAATAATTCTTTAGTTAAAAACAGATTGATTGATTATATATATATATATGTGTGTTACAAAAATTACAAAAATATTTACATATTTTGAATGAAACAAGATGACAAAAATCCCACATTGTATACACGCGCTTTGGATAAAAGCGTCTGCTAAATGCATAAATTATTATTAAGAAATGATTATTATTTTCCATTTTTGAAGCAGTGAATGTCATTGCATTAGACTTCTGTAAGCTGGTCCTTGCGTTCATTATCATTGCGCCGTGAATACTGTGGAATATTCCAGAAACTCTGCTCTCACACAAGCCCTGTGTAGTGTGCTCATGCTGTTTCTAGTGCACTACACTACACCACCTAGTGGCCTGATAGTGTGGCCAAACATACACAGCCAGAGCTAACAGACAATAATTCTTTAGTTAAAAAAAGATTGATTGATTATATATATATATGTGTGTTACAAAAATTGAAGTATTTACATCTTTTGAATGAAACAAGATGACAAAAATCCCACATTGTATACACAAAGTGATTGTGGCATGGATTGAGACCTGGGCCCAGTTGCATAAACTTAGTCTCTATGTTAAGACAGTGTCTTAAGTACTAGTCTGATCAGCTAGCAGTTAACCAAAGGGTAATCAGTCTTATTTTTTGGATTCAACTTAGACTAATCTACATTTTTATTTAAGTAAATAAAAAAATATATGACCTGCCTTAAAGAAAAAATTAGCTGACTAACTTTTAAGACTAGTCTAAACCTTGTATGCAACCGGCCCCTGGTTTCTCCGTCACACACACACACACACACACTTTTTGGAAGCTGTGATACTTTTTTCAGGAGTCTTTGAGGAATAAAGTTCAAAAAGAACAGCGTTTATTTCAAATAGAAAACTTTTCTGTATATTTTCTGTATATTTAATAATATTTATTTCACTTTTTTTACTCTTTAAAAAGTCTTTACCACTTTTTATCAACACCCTTGTTGAATAAAAGCATTCATTTAAAAAGGAAGAAAGAAAGAAAGAAAGGAAATAATTACTGACCGCAAACTTTTGAAATAAATGCTGTTCTTTTTAACGTTTTCCATCAAAAACTCCTGAAACAAGTATCTCGGGTTCTAAAAACAAATTGATAATAAATCAGCATATTGTTATGATTTCTGAAGATCATGTGACTCTGAAGACTAGTGAAAATACAGATTTGATCACAGAAATAAATTACAGTTTAACACATATTCACATAGAGAACAGCTGTTTTAGATTCTAATAATATTTCACAATTTTTACTGTATTTTTGATCAAATAAAAGCAGCCTTGATGAACAGAAGAGACTTCTTTAAAAACATTAAAACAAGTACTAAAGACATACACGAGCTCTGCTCATCTGCCAGTAACCGACTCACACTCTCTCTCTCTCTCACACACACACACACACACACACACACACACTCTCACACACACACACACACACACACACACACACACACTTTTTGGAAGCTGTGATACTTTTTTCAGGAGTCTTTGAGGAATAAAGTTCAAAAAGAACAGCGTTTATTTCAAATAGAAAACTTTTCTGTATATTTTCTGTATATTTAATAATATTTATTTCACTTTTTTTACTCTTTAAAAAGTCTTTACCACTTTTTATCAACACCCTTGTTGAATAAAAGCATTCATTTAAAAAGGAAGAAAGAAAGAAAGAAAGGAAATAATTACTGACCGCAAACTTTTGAAATAAATGCTGTTCTTTTTAACGTTTTCCATCAAAAACTCCTGAAACAAGTATCTCGGGTTCTAAAAACAAATTGATAATAAATCAGCATATTGTTATGATTTCTGAAGATCATGTGACTCTGAAGACTAGTGAAAATACAGCTGCGCATCACAGAAATAAATGACAGTTTAACACATATTCACATAGAGAACAGCTGTTTTAGATTAGAATAATATTTCACAATTTTACAGCTTTTTCTGTATTTCTGATCAAATAAATGCAGGCTTGATGAGCAGAAGAGATGTCTTTAAAACACATTGAAAAACTTACTGATCCCAAACTTTTGAACAGCTGTGTAGATATATATATATATATATATACACACAACACACACACACACACACACACACACAACACACAAACACGCGTGTACACACACACTCACTCACTCACTCACTCACACACACACACAACCAACTCTCTCCCCCCCACACCCACACACACCCCCACCCACACACACACACACACACACTCTCTCACACACACACACACTTTTTGGAAGCTGTGATACTTTTTTCAGGAGTCTTTGAGGAATAAAGTTCAAAAAGAACAGCGTTTATTTCAAATAGAAAACTTTTCTGTATATTTTCTGTATATTTAATAATATTTATTTAACTTTTTTTACTCTTTAAAAAGTCTTTACCACTTTTTATCAACACCCTTGTTGAATAAAAGCATTCATTTAAAAAGGAAGAAAGAAAGAAAGAAAGGAAATAATTACTGACCGCAAACTTTTGAAATAAATGCTGTTCTTTTTAACGTTTTCCATCAAAAACTCCTGAAACAAGTATCTCGGGTTCTAAAAACAAATTGATAATAAATCAGCATATTGTTATGATTTCTGAAGATCATGTGACTCTGAAGACTAGTGA